ACCTCTCTGTGCCCCCTTTAGCCAGGGCTACTCTCTGTGGCTACCACTCTGGACTCAGCAGGCAGCTTAGCCAGCACAGGGTGGGGTGGAACCCCACCTGGAGGTGGGCCTATTGGGTCCTCTGATGTTGGTGCCACTCAGGGGAAGTGGTCTCTGCCTGAGCAAGATGTTTGCTGTTACATGGGGGATGAGTCAGCACCGAGATCTGGCCAGCTACTCTCTCAGTTCTCTCCCCAAAGCCTCCTTCCCCAGTCTCTCCTCAGGTGTATCTAGCCCACTCTGCTCCTGTCTTTGTCAGAGAGCAGGATAAGTGGCTGGAAATAAAAATTTTGCATCGACCTTTTGAAAGGCTCTTTGCATCTCCAGTCACCTTGTCTCTGGCAGAGAGCAACCCTGTTGCTTTTTGCAGCTGGCTGTTTTCTGTGTATCTTTTGAGCTCTGGTGCTGTAGGGTGGAGATCCCTGCTTTTGGTTTAGACCCTGTTCCTCTCAGGGTGAGCCAACTGGCCATTTCAATATTCTTCTGGTGCTGCCACCATTGGGTGCCCCACCCACCTTCTCGAGTCTGTACTGCACTCCTTAGCAGTTAGATTGTGCTAAAGTCGATTCTTTCTCTGAGGCTACAAGGCTCCTCTTTCACTATTTTCAGTTGTTTGTTCCAGGTGATTTCTCCACAATTTAGTTGTTATTCCATGTTGTTCCTGGGAGGAGGTCTTGTGACTTCCACTCACTCCTCCACCATCTTGATTGCATCATGAGTTCTTTATATATTTTGGAAATCAAACCCCTGTCCAAAGTATCATTGGCAAATATATTTTCCCATATGGTTGGTTCCCTTCTCATTTTGCTGATGTTTTTTAGCTATACAGAAGCTTCTTATTTTGGTGAGGTCCCACTTCTTTATTCTTTCCTTTATGTTCCTTGCTCTAGGGGACATATCGGTGAAAATATTGCTGCATGGGATATCTGAGATTTTCCTGCCTATGTTCTCTTCTAGGACTTTTATGATGTCGTGACTTATATTTAAGTCTTTTATCCATCTTGAGTTTATTTCTGTGTATGGTGTCAGTTGGTGGTTGAATTTCAATTTTTTGCACATAGCTGTCCAGCTCTCCCAACACTATTTGTTGAAGAAGCTATTTTTATTCCATTTTTTGCTTCTGCCATTTTGTCAAATATTAATTGACCATAAAGACATAGGTTTATTTCTGGGCTTTCTATTCTGTTCCAGTGATCTATGTGTGTGTTCTTATGTCAGTACCAGACTGTTTTTATTACAGTGGCCTTGTAATATAGTTTGATGTTAGGTATTGTTATCCCTCCTTCTTTGTTTTTCTTTCTCAAAATGGCTGCAGCTATTTGTAGTCTTTTATGGTTCCATTTAAATTTTGAAATGTTTGTTCTATGTCTATGAAATGCATCATTGGTATTTTAATAGGGATTGTGTTGAATCTAGAAATTGCTTTGGGTAGTATGGATATTTTAATGATGCACCCCTTCATGATAAAAACATTCAGCAAGGTGGGAATAACGGGGGCATACCTCAACATATAAAGGCCACATATGAAAAACCTACAGCCAATATGATACTTAATAGGCAAAAGCTGAAAGCTTTCCCACTAAGATTGGGAACAAGACAAGGATGTCCACTTTCACCACTCTATTCAACATAGTATTGGAAGTCCTAGGCACAGTGATAAGACAAGAAAAAGAAATAAAAGGCATCCAAATTTGAAAGGAGAAAGTGAAACTATCATTGTTTGTGGATGACATGATAGTGTACATAGGAAACCCTATAGACTCCACCAAAAAACTAAACTGAATAAGTGAATTGGGCAAAACAACAGGATACAAAGTCAATATTCAGAAGTCAAAGGCATTTTTGTACCCCAAAAATGAAATATCAGAATTAGAAATCAGGGAAAAAAATCCCATTTGCTATAGCAATAAATAAAATAAAGTATGTAGGAATAAACTTAACCAAGGAGGTAAAAGACCTGTATTCAGAAAACTACACTTCACTGAAGAAAGAAATTAAGGAAGACACAAAGAAATGGAAACATATACCGTGTTCATGGTTCCTCCTATACAGTTTAGGAGGAACTGCTGCAACTGAACCAAGGCTTCGGCTCTGTTTTACATAGGTCTCCAAAGATCAAACCAGTCCAATTATTCTTCACTTACTACCTGTGGACTGGGAATATGCTGGTCCCCTCTAATAAGTGTTTCTTGTTTTTATATCAAGACTTCATTGAAGGAAGTCTGCCAGTGATGAAAACACAATTTATGTTTCAAAGGAATGATCTTTTTTATCTATTCTTTGGAAATAAGAACTTAGATATTTTTGGAAAAAAGTATTTTTTGTGTTTATTTGAAATGAAATATGTGTAAATAAATGTCTTTATGCTATTGAGGCAGAAGACAGCATAGGCAGAACTCTGAGTCTGCATGGCTGTTATTGACCAGCGTTTAGCATCATGGTTACCAGGAAACACCTTTTACCATTTAGATAGAATGAATAGTAAACCAAGGCATGGAGGGAGAGGGAGACACTTTTCACCCACTGACTCAGCAGTCTTGAGCCTGGTCCGATAATACTGTCAAGTGTTCCAACATCACAAGAAACACTATGTTAGCACAGAAGGAGGGAATTCCTTGAAATTCTATGTAGTATTTCCAGTATCTGGGAAAGAAAGCCTTGAAACTTGCTTTCCTCTCAAGGCCTGAAATGCGAGAGAGGGTCCACAGGGCCCAAAGAATCAGCCCACAAATAACTTTGAGTAATTGCCCCAACTGTAATTAATAGTCTCCTGTCACATATCTGTATTACACAAGATGAATAAATGGAGTCTGGAGGAAGATGAGGATTTAGGCTAACAGACCCCCACACAGCACACATACCTCAATTTGGGTAGTCACATCTCCCCAAGGAAAACTGGAACCATAATTACCCATTAATCGATATGTAACATTTTACTCCCATCCCACCAAGTATATAAGTCCTCAGAACAAAGGACTCGCTCTCTTGGTGTGCTGGGTGCTCTTGATGCTCTGGGCATTCTTGGCTCTCTGACTGGCAGGCCTCAGGCCTCCCAGGGCCTTTTCACCTTGGCCTTCAGCTATTCTTACTTTTGCCACCCTGCTTTGCCCTGAACCTCTGTCTTTCCCCATCCCTTGACCTTCCCCTGCCCCTCCCCCCCCCCCCCCCCGCATCTTAGTTAGGCCCATTCTCTTCCATGGGAATGGATCACTAATGAACTCTCATTGTACACTAATAGATTTGCTGATATGTAATTCTTTTCATCAGCAAGAAGAACCAGGTCTCTCCCGTCAACATAATGTTATGTTACTTATAGAATTAGATAATGACTACTCCAAATCTAAAATTAAGGTATCTCCTGTGAATTAAATTAATAAATAAACATGTCAAGTAAAAAACTGATTTGGTGTTTCTTGGCAGAAGTCTGAAAAACCAGGGCCTAGAAGCCCAATCCTGATTGGTATATTAGTCAGGATTAAGGGCAGGGAGGGGTGCAGGAGATAGATAGAGACAGAAGTAGATGTTATTAGAAATTGGCTCATGTAATTATGATGGCTGAGAAGAGCCACCATCTTCAAGGTGGAGACCCAGGAAAGGCAGTGGTACAATTCAGTCTCAGTCCAAAGGCCTGAGAACCAGTGAAGCCAATTGTTCTCCGTTTGAGGGCAAAAGATGAGATGAGATGACTCAGTTTAATCAGTGAGGCAGACAAAAAGGGTGAATTCTTCCCTCCTCTGCCTTTTGTTCTATTCATGCCCTCAGTCAATTGGATGATGTCCACTTACACTGGGGAAGGTGAAATACTGAGTTCACTGATTCAAATGCTAATCCCATCCAGAAATACCATCTCACACACCCAGTAACAATGTTTAATCTAGTTACCTATGGCCCAGTTGTTCTCTGGGTCTTTATTTATTTGCAGTTTTTTGTTTGTTCACATCTTGGTTGTCACTGGTGAGGAGGAGAGAAGACAGAAACATTAACAAAAACCTATTTAAAGATAATGAATGGTCAGCAAAGGCAGTGGTGGGACTCTGCAGAGGGCAAAAGATGACTGTATGCCTTGTTTTCTACCATTTTATATAAGGGACCTGAGCATTTGTGGATTTGGGTGTCTGAGAGGGGTCCTGGAAACCAAATCCCTCACAGATACCAAGGGATGATGACTGCAGTTAAGTTTTAGAGAAGTCAAAAGTTTTACATGGATTTTCTACTACCATACAGGGGTCAATGTCCCTATTCTTCACTTTGTTCAAGAATCAACTGTATTTACAGCCACCTCCAAAATTGCCAGAGGAGTCATATACACAAAACATAAGGATGCACAAAATTACATTGTATTTCTTTAGCACTTTGCTTCATAACCCTTAATCTAAAACAACTCACCATGTATCTTTAGACTTATTTTTATATCCACCTAATTTAATCTTTGTTCTCTGTTTCTTTAAAAAGTCACAGAAGGACAAACCCAAGGGAAAAACATGCAGAAAAAAATAATGTAATCCTAAAACCAGCTTTGAAAAAACAAGGTAAAAGAGAAGAGCCAGAGCCAAAAATTGGCCCAGGTCATCAATTCTACCTTCCCTACTCATGGTCATCACCTTGGTTTCTGCTAAGCAATGCGATCTCTCTCCGCCATTCTGAGTTACAGAAATCCAAATAGTGGCCAACTGCTAGAAATAAAGATGGAACTCTTATAGCAAACTCCCAATATTAACATCGCAAAAATTATTCTGCCATATGTGCATCAAAAATTCAAAATGCTTTTCTCAATTATCAAATGTTAAGATAATCCTCAGTGAAACAGGTGGAATAGATTATAGTTAAATATTTAAAAATTTACTAGGGCTGCAGCAACTTTCCAGAGAGTCCAAAACTCCAGGGTGCTATTCCTCAAGATGTTGCAGAGATTTTTAGAGTTCTTACCACATCTGAGAAGCTCTCTTTTTTCCTCCTATTAGTCCCTCCTTCCATAACAGGGAAGGGCATTCTGATGGATGATTTCCAAATCCATGAGATTTTCTGTTTGTGGAAACAAGATACGCCATAGAGAAATCAAGCCTATATGTAAGTAAATTGTGGTGAATCCACCTCTTTTTATGGGAATTTACATCAATTGATTCTTGGAAATACACATTTTACCAGAGCTCAGGAATATTTTTAAACAAAGCTTTCTACACAGTATTGTAAGCTTCAATCACTCTACAGTTAGATCCAATTAACATGTCCTGAATGCCAGAAGGCTTGTAATAATGTTATTTAGCACAGTTAATGAATAAAAATTAAAATGCTTGCTCTCCATAGTATTAAATTGCATATCATATTCTTTACTTCTCTAATGTCTCTTTTTAGGAAACTTGAGAATTAAGGTTTCTTGTGGTGGGGCATATATATCATCATATTTTAAAGACAAGTTTACTGGTAGGTGTCAGTATGAAGACAAGATGATCAACACATAATAATATAAGTAAGAAATGGAAATATAGGCTAAACTACTGGGTGATGTTCTACAGTCTTAAGTCCATTTAAGCTATAACCTTCTAGACTTGGGAGAAGATACTAGAGAGTATATTAAATCTTCAGGTGAGTGAACAGAATAATCTTTAAAGTTCTTTCAACCTCTTATATTCCATTATTTCTCCAAATCTATTTATCTGTTATTGTTATGAACAAAGATCTTTATGACATGTTTACAAAAAATGTCTCTGTTGACATTTTATATTTTTCTAAATGTCATACTATTATCAATTACATATTAAGTTCATAATAATAATATATATTGGACAATTTTTCCAAAGTAATATAATTTTGTATATTTTTGAAATTTTAAAACTTTTGATTTATGTAAGTATTAAACAAAGTTTGCTGTAACTTCCCATTTCTGTACTGCCTTCTGACTCTGAAAGTAATAAAGGCCATAGACTGTTTTTTACAGTAAACAGATATAAAAAAGTATTAATGGAGGCTTAGCTTTGATATCAGTATGCCATCTAGGGACAAACAGCTCATTCCAACCATTTTGCTTATTTTTTTATGCCATAATTTACTAGCCAAGATTATGCTAAGCTAATCTCCTGATATTCTGCACTACTCCAAGTGGAACATAAACCCTGGGACCAGACCCCAGTAGCCTCTGCTATTCATAGAGGAAGATGATTTCACGAAGATGAAAATCTTTTCATGAGCACTGTTAGTTCTTCATCTCTCTCCATTGTAAAAATGTTTTTAAAAAAATCTATTCCTATTGCTATCCTAGGCAGCTGAAATTTAAATCATGATGAATTTGCTAGAAATCCCAGCCGTTAATAGTGGGAATAGACAGTCCTCTTTTTAGAGAATGAGGACTTGGAGTGCTTCCAAATTAATCTCTTATGGTTTAAGTATCCACATTTTATGCAAATGAGAAAATGGATATTTTAAAATATTTATCAAGTAGCTTTTTTACAGGTTAAATTTACGAAATCACTAAGACTATAGAGCCTTCAGTATACTTAAGTTTGTCAATAATAAGCACATCTCTCTGTATCACGTTTCTTTTCCTTAAATTTTCTACCAAATGCTGAAGGGTGTTTTTACTTACTTTAACTACATGATAACTAACCTCAAGTTAAACAGTTACTTGAAAAAGATTTCATGACTCTGCTTTCTCAGCTCAATCAGTTTGGCTATTGACCTGGAATGTGCACAGTGCTTGCCATTGGATCCGGGCTCTGGACTGTAACAGCACAGACCAAAAGAATTGGTCAGATGGTACAGTAGGGAAAGGAAATGAACTAACATATACTTTTATTACATAAGATGGTATAATTTTAGCTTCTTTCTCCTTAAAGTTTCTTCCCTGGAATTATGTTTGAGCTACCGTGGCTCATTTGTGGATCATTAGAAATATAAAAACAATTGCTCTTTAAAAAAAAAAAAGAACATATGAAGTATCTGCAGAAAATTTCAGAAGCTTACTTAACTTTAATTTTTAAAATTACCTCCTCTTTCATAGAGTGCCAACACAGCACTCTAAAGCCAGACTATTGGGTTTGACTCCTAGCTTCACCTTTGCTATTCATGTGATTTGTGCAAGTTACTGAACCATAGGTGTCTGTTTCCTCTCCTATAAAATTACATATAAACTGTGCTAGTTCATCAACAGCGTGTAAGGATTAAATGGCTATGTAAGGCACACAGACTGAAGCCGGTCACATTTAGTACAGTTGAAAAAGGCACAATTTCTCACACGTTGGTTAAAGCAAAACAAATCAACCCCAGTCCTCTGGTATCTTTCTAAAAACTCCAATGAAGAGTAAATGAATGAAAAGAAACAGAGCTTCATTGCACTAAAACAAATATTAGCACCTACTATGAACAAAATATGATACTGGGGAGAGACCAAGTAATAAAAGATATAGCTGCAAATGTTGATAGAGATACAGGTAGGAGATAAGGATGGATAGCCAGCATTCCTACAAAGAGGCTTGTTTATTTCCTGTGCTGCTTCATGCATATCTCTCTCATCGTGCTTATTCCTCTGTATCATTATTGCCTGCCTTCAAGGCCATCCTCTGCCTTTCAGCTGTGGACTCCTAATGCAGTTCTTGGGGGGAAAACAGGTGTTCCATATATATTTGTTGATGGAGAGGATGATAAATAAATGCATGAATCCCTTCAAAATAAAATGCATATGAAAGCCTTCACTGAAAAGTGAGATTTGATCTGGGCTTGAATGATGGGAGAATCTACATAAGAACAGAGTTGCTATATAAAATGCAGGAGGTCCAGTTCAATTTGAACTTCAGATAAACAACAAATAACTTTTCAGTGTAAGTATGCCCCATAAAACATTTAGGACATACTTATACTAAAATAAATGATACATTGATTAAATTTGAATTTCAGATATACAATGAATCTTTTTTTTAGTAAAAGATTTCCCAATGTTATGTGGAATATACTTAATACTAAAAATAATTTGTTGTTTATTTGAAATTTAAACTTAACTGGATGTGCCTTGTAAGTTTATTTGCTAAGTCTGGCAATCCTAATAATGGGAATAGAAAATAGAAGACATTTTAAGTTAAGGAAATGGCAAGAGAAACAAACAGACACATTTGCTCTTAAGAAAATCTGAGTCTTTGAATAGAAATGTCTGAATGGAGAATTGTGATAGAGGGCAATGACTAAAATAGTTTCTCTTCTTCCTTGCTTATTTTCTTTAAAAATGTATATTCCAATTTCTCAATACCTTTCACCCCACTTTGTTCTCTTCCCTCCAGCACAGAAGTGCTATATAAGGTAAAGGACAAAAAAAAAAAAAAAAAAAGAAAAAGGACAAAGAGCTTCTAAGACACTTAGCCTTTTGGTCATTGAACATACGAGGATAACTTAAATGTCACAGACTAAATAACAGATGGGTACATGATGGAGTCACAATAACACACATTTGGACTTTTCAAATGGTTTTTTTGGATTCCTTTAATGTAGAAAGTGATCATAATTTTTTCTTTAGAGAGATTCAGCCCTGGGCTTTGAAAAATGCTGTTTAAGTTAGTTGAAAGTCTTCCCTTTGCTCTTTTAATCTGCTCATAACAGGACAGTTTGTGTTAACTCTCCTAATGTTGGTATTTTTTCTCTTCTTTTTCCCTTTTCTTTTCCTTCTCTCTCTCTCTCTCTCTCTCTGTACTCTCCTTTTTCCCACTGGTTCAAAATAAACTAAGAAGAAAACATAGAATCAGAGGAATAGAAATATGGAACAGACTGACATGTAAAAAGGGAGGAGGAGGGGGAACTGGATGAAAGAAGGCAAAGGGATTAGCCAAAGAACATATATGCATGACCCATGGACATGGGCAATGGTGTGGATGTGGGGATTGCCTGAGGAAGTGTGTGCTGGGGGCTGGAAGGAGGGAGGCAAAGGGGGAAAATCTGGGACAACTGTTATAGCATAAACAATAAAATATAATTTTAAAAAAGAAAAGGACAAAGGAAACTCTAAAGGGGAAAAATATTGAAAGTTTTTATCAATTTTTTATTGTTTCTATTAAATATCTTGTTTATCACAATATTCTGGGTTATGATGGGTCTTATAAAAATCTATACAAGGGACTACAAGATGGCAGAGGAGTGAATGGAAGTCACACTGACCTCCTCCCAGGACCAATCTGGAATTACAACTAAATTGTGGAGAAATCACCTGGAAAATAACAGAACAAAAGCTAGAGAGGAGCTGTAAAACCTTGGGCAGAGAGGAATTGGCTTTAACATAATTTAAAAGGTAAGGAGTATGGTAGAGACTCGAGAAGACAGTCTGGGCACCCATGGGTGGCAGTACAAGAGGGATATTTAAATGGCCAATTGGATCCCCCAGAGAAGAGTGAGGTCTGAACAATGGGTGGAGATCTCCAGCTTACAGCATGAGAGCCCACAAAATACTCAGAAAACAGCCAGCCACAAAAAGTGGCAGAGTTGCTCTCTGCCAGAGACAGCAGCTGGAGACGCAAAGAGCCATTTAAAGGGTCTACACATACATTTGTATTGGCAGCCACTTACCCTGGTCTCCAGCAAAGTGAGGGGCAGAGTGGGCTGGAGCTGCTTGATGAGAGACTGGGGAAGGAGGCTTTGGGGAGAGAAGTGAGAGAGTAGCTGGTGGGAACCGGTGCTGACTCCTCCACCGTGTGGCAGCAGCCATTGTGCTCAGGCAGACCATGCCCCTGAGTGGCAGCAGCATGAGAGGACACAATAGTCCTGCAACCATGAGGCTCTGCCCTAGTGATGGTGTGCAAGCTTGACTGCTGAATACACAGTGGCAGTCATAGATAGCAGATCCCTGGCCAAAGGGGTTGCCTAGTGATCTGGAGTTGCTTGAGTAGAGACTGGAGACCGAAGATTTGGGGAGAGAACTGAGGGAGTTGCTGGCAGGAACCTGGTGCTGACTCCTCACCCATATAGCAGCAGCCATTTTGCTCAGGCAGACCACTCCACTGAGCTGCAGCAGCATGAGAGGACACAATAACCCCCCACACAGGAGGGGCTTTGCCCTGCCATGTGGTGCTTAAGCCCGACTGCACAGAGCAGAGTGACTAGATTAACA